CGTGCTTTTCTGATGATAACTGCGCTGTCAAAACTGCTGACTATTAAAGGGCTTTTATTTTGCTTTACAAAGACACACTGTGCACCCTGCTCCCCACCACTAGTTCTATTAGCCTGGATGTTTACAGGTTTGGAAACTACAACACTGGGCCCAGAGTTTCGGTCAGGGAAGTGTGGAGAAGGCTGCATTTCTAAATGTGCGCAAACCTAGCTGTCCTGGGCGACCTCAAAGAATTCCTGAGAGGCTGCAGAATTTACAAAGTTGTGTTTGCTGCAATTTACCCTCAGGGAGAAGACCCAGCTTCTAGCTGGGCACGTGCTTAAAAACCAACCTGCAGAACAGGCAGCTGTCGAAATCCCCAAGGCCCTGACTACGCCTCGGGTCGGGTCGGAAGGAACAAGAGGCAGCGATGCTGTTACACGAATGGCAAAGTCTGAGCGGAGTACCCGGGCAAGTTCCCTCTCCTACAAACTACGAGATGATGCAGCAGCTTCTCAGAGACGTCTAAAGTCAAGTATAGACATTACTCAATTCCACCAAACACACTGCTCTCTCTACTACCGAGTCTCGCGACCAAAGCACTATTGGTAATATTAAGCCAGACAAGCCTGTGTGGTTGGGGGTCTCCTGGGGATTGTGGGATGTTTAGCAGCACCCTGGGCCTCTAACCACTAGATAGCAGTTACACACAACTGCCCAGAGGTGACAACCAAAAATGTCTCCAAGCCCTGATATGTGCTACAACACGGATAAACCTTAAAAACATTATGGTGTCTGGAAGAAACGAATATAATAAGATATATAACAAGATAGACATAGTATATGGTCCTACTTATATAGAATAAACAAATGTATAGAGAGCAAAATGTACGGTCACTAGAAGAAGGGAAAGGAAAGGGCCTCACCCAGGAGGCAACGAGTTTCGGTAGCATACTTTGGAAAAGGGCGGTGATAACAATATGACGAATGTAATCAATGTCACTGGATTATTTATGCAAAGGATGTCGAGTTGGCAAATGTTGAGGAGGATAAATTTAAAAAGTATTGCTACTGTAGTTTCAGTTCATACATCCATTAGTGTATTTATTCCAAATAAAACGTGTTCAAACACGTCTCTGTGATCAGCGTGTGGCTGTACACAAGCTGTGTTACACACTTGTGTTAGTCTCATCAGAGGCCCTTCAACAAGAGGTCCAATCACAATAGTGGCTTTCCAGAGCAGTTAAATTCAAGGGACTAAGGGCAGCTCAGGAAATTTCGTTAACTGTTTTCTGAGGTCCCTGAAGGACATGGTACAAACACAAGGGTTTAAAAAACGTTTTATGAAAAGTGAAAACTTCATTGATGAAGAAAAAAAAGTTGTGCCATGAAATTGTTTTCCATCGTGAGCATGCATCCGCTCGTTCTTCAATGGCAGCCATAACTTCACTATGAGAAGTCGGCGGGGAAGCTACCCCATCGCCCTCCAGCCCTGGGCTTCCCTTTCAGACTTCTTTAGTTCCCCGAGGCTCGAAGAACCTTGAAGAGGAACAGGATTTGAGTGCTGAGGATGCCCAGACTACCATTTGACGTAGGGTAACTTGAAGGCTGCAGGATTCTTTGGGTCAAGGTTAGAGATAAAGCACCTCCTTCTGAAGCACACAGACCTCGATGGAGGAGATGTAGCGAAGCAGCAGCTTCACACTTTGATTTTGATTTTGTTGTTGTTTACTAAAGGTGTCTATGAGTTTGTCATCATACATTTTGGTTTACCCTCATAATTTACACAATTTTAAATAGAGTCTGGATGGGTGTTTCCAGATACTGCCAAATGTCCCAGGTTGAGAACCCTTTCTCTAATCTACCACTGCCAGTGCACCCCTCGGCAATGACTCTCCACTGCTCTTGTCCACAATGCACAGAGTGTAATCAACCGTGTCCTCCTATTGATAACCAAAATTTTAAAAGTTTTACTTTCATTTTGAATTTCCTAGAAAACAATCTAGTTTGTGTGGAAAGGTGGGGTGGAGTCTGAAGATGTAGGGATGGTACAGAAATCTTAGGGAGAGCCAATACTCATTAAGAGTCCAAGTGCAGGAAATTAACATAAAATATTATGGGCACAAAAGTGAGCAACTTTATTGTGCATATTTTAAAGTTAAATTTAATCCAGTTACCTTTAATCTCTCAAAATCAAGTTCCTCCAAATATATCCACTAAGGAATTAAACTTGTTAATCTCATTTTTATAAAGCAAGCAATGAACCAGATGGGCTTTGATGAGGAACACAATTGATACAGGTATCCTTACCATCTGACACTACTTAGAAGAAAAAAAAAATCCACCCGGTTTGGTCAAACAGTAAGTCTGAGAATGGTTGCTGCCATTTTAAATTAAGTTTCAGAATTCAAAGACCCTCCCTGGGCAAAGGAACGCTGAATGGTCATTCAAAGTTGTAGATTTTCAGAAGGATATATATCTACGGGGCACATCTTTTTCAGAATCAAGGGCACAGAGGAGATAGGCCCATCATGGCACCATGGGTAGTGATTACAGACGAGATTTAAATTCCCAGTTCCTAACCCCAGGGGTCCCCCGCCCACTGGCCACAATGTAGCAAGCAGATTAAGCTGTCCAACTTCCAGGCATAGTCTTTTGTGTGGAATGGCATTCACTGAACAAACGGCGACCCAATTCTAAGACAGAGGCTCCAGAGCAGAGTTGGCGGGGCACAAACTTCTCCTTCACCCTCACCACCCATTGGGAACCGCTCAGCAAGGTCAGCCCAGACACCTCGCACTGAAAACACATGCTCTAATTTGCTTCTAGGAATCCAGTTTTCCAAGTGCAAATAAAGGAAAGACTTCTAAGAAACGATTCATTCCATTTCAAGGGAAGGGGGAGAGCCCATTAAGTCAAATAAACCCTATTTATGTGGCATATAATTAGCATGACAAGGGCAAGAAACATCCCTGAGAAAGGAGTCCTAATTTGTCAGCTAAAGAAGATCCAGGAATCATTTTCTCAGAGAACCAATCTCTGGGGTTTCGGACAATGGTAGAGAAGACAAACTAAGACTCACCACTGTCAATTAGGATTCTTAGTGATGTTACTGGACGAAGTCGAACTGCCCCTGTGAGTTTCTGAGCCTGTAACTCTTCGTGGGAGTTGAGAACCTCATCTTTCTCCCTTGGATCGGCTAGTGATTTTAAGCTGCTGGCCTTGTGGTTATTAGCAGGCCAGCGCCTCACCCACCCCACGAAACCACTAGGACACATAAGCACTCCTAAGTGCTAGAAGATCCTCATCGAAACCACCGAGCAGAGCTTTGAGCCTGGAATATTTACTGATAATGAAAGCGGGCTACTGACCCTCCCTCTGTCCTAGTTTCCCATCCTTTTTCCTCACTGGGAAGTCTCTTGATTCCCGATAGAAAGGACATCTCTGTGTGGCTTACTGCATGAATGGGGGCCCCACATGGCACCTGGCTAGATCCTTTCACAGCAGTGAGGGGACAGGGTTGTTGGCCTGCAGCTTGGAGGAGGGGTGAGTGCAGACCACAGGCTTGCAGCAGCTGAAGAAAGCAAACCCCCAGCATGGAGGCCAAGTGACCACATGGATAATGGCCCCCAGCCTGTCTCTTCTCTGTGGCAGGAAAGCATGATTCCAACAGTGGCTGTGAGAAGTATGTTCTTCTTGAGAAATCTCGAACCTTGGCCTGACAACAATGTTCTCCTGTTAGGAGGGGTTTATTCACCTACATTTCAGGGATAACTAGAAGGCACCCAGGGATGGGATTGCGAGGAGGGGGATTTATGGACCTGGACATTTACATGTAGACCTATGTAGAGATACATATGTGCACAATCTGTGTGAAAGGTGTCCAATGCAATCACCAGGTTCTGGTAAAAGACCATGACTTCTCAGAAGAAATGAAACACTAAGAGTGACCATTTCCCCCGGCCACTTGGCTTAAGATCCTTGCAATGAGACCAGTATCCAAATGCACGCCACGTTGAACCATGTCCAGCTACCAGCTTGCGCCCATACCACAAAAAGCTGACAACGCAGGGGCCCTGATATTTTGGAAAAATAAAAGTACATTCACACTGACGGTGACTCAAAGGTATATAAGGTTAGCGATGGAAGGGATGCATGGGCCCCAGCCAAGAGGAATAAAGAAGTTTGAAGCTGGCTCTCTGTCTCTCCCCTGATCCATCAGCACTTGACCTAGCTGTGCTCAACACTCTTCCTGCTCCTGGCAGCTGCGGCAGTGAGAGAAGTTCCATGGGAAGCTAAATGTCACCATCGAGTCCAGCTAAGGGTACAGGGCTCAGGACACCTAGGGCCACGGCCACTTTCTAAGTGCCTAACAGGAGCAAAGACATTTCTGGAACTTCCCTAGTGAGAGAAAGAAGGCCTCGGGATGGCTTTTTACAGAACAGCTCCTTTTCTTTCCTCTACAAAGTGAAAGCGAGGTTGCCGGGGTCTCCCATGAAATGTGACCTTCAGTAAAAGTGAGGTGTCAGAAATGGACAAGGACCAGAAACGGTGCCAAAGAACCAAATGACTGAAGACCACTGACCCGGGCTGAGTCTGCTCCACCAGGATGCTTACGAGGCCTATGGATCTCTCCAGCTGCATGCGGACGAGGCCCTGGAGGGCACGGAGCCAGCAGCCACAGTGTAGAGCAGGGGTTCCCAACCTTCTTAATGCCTCGCCTCTAATACTGTTCCTCATGTTGTGGTGACCCCGGCAACGATCAAATTATTTTCGTTGCTACTTTAGAACTATAATTTTGCTACTGTTATAAATCAGGCCACCCCTGTGAAAGGGTCATTAAACCCCCAAAGGGGTCTCAACCCACAGGTTGAGAAGCGCTGGTGCAGACATAGGATCTCCAGGGAGACAAAGGTAGGTAGGTACCACCCAAGTTTGATTTGAGAAATGATTGGGGGTGAATACACAGAATCACGTTCATGTAAAAACCCAAAGCAATTTGAACCAGAGGTTTCTCTCACCTCCACAGGGTACCTCCTGCCGTTGATGCTGTGTTCAGAGCCCGCAGAGCCATTGCTGTGGCCCCAGTGAAATTCCACCTTCTCAGCTTTGAATCGACCGGGCAGCCCAGCACCGCTGACAAAATAGTCGTCTTTCAGAAGGATGGCAACTGTGGAAAATGGAGAGGAAGGGAGGAAAAGAGAGTGAGCTTCAAAACCAAGCTTAGAATTTCTTTTATGCTGCCCCTAGTGAAGTTCATGATTACCATGATATGGATTATTTCCTTATGTTGCTATTAAAAAACAACAACTCGCCAAAAACACCAGCCTTCAGTAAACTAGCATGGTCGATGTACTATGGTCACTGATGTTCGATGCTTTCGGGTCAGCTGCGGGCTCAGGGAAGCCCCATGGAGAGCCGAACAAAACATGGCTCAGTGTGGTGCCACCCCATGATTGGTCAGCCTTCTGATCCAGAGTGAGAGATTTGTAGAATTGTCGTGGGTTGGCTTTTTAGAAGTAGAGTGTGGAACCTTTCTTCTGAGCCCGTCTTAGTGTGGAAGCTCTGCTGAAATGACCCTGAGGAGCCCCACAGAAATCCGTAAGCTCACATGACAAATGGGCTGGAGCTGCTCATGGGCCCAATGGCCAGGAACCAAACCCGAGTTCCACATGGAAGGCAAGAATTAGACCACTGAAGCGCCACTGATTCTTGGGGTCACTGTTGCTGTCTTGTGCTGTGCTAGGGAGAAGTGTCTGATTCATGGTGAGCCCATGTCTCCTGGGAGATCTCCGGGAATCACACACTCACTGCCAACGAGTCCATGCTGGCTCGGCAACCCCCTGTGGGTTTCAGAGGCCTAGGAGCTCTCCGTCGAGACAAGGCCCAGGGAATGATCTCGAAATGTCTTATCCACTTGACATATTTGGTTCAATACTCCTCTGTCATTCCAAGAATTAAAAAATGTCTCAGTTCATGCATCCACAGCATACGGAATTTCACCCATTCAAAGCCCAAACTTAAAAACAATGAAAAACAAAGAAGAAACATGGAAAAGAGAAATTGACAACAAATAACTTGGATTTATCTTAGCATGCAAAAAATTTTTTTTCTTAATGCACCATTTTAACACACAGAGAAAACATTCTGTTTTATAAGTTCTGCATTTCGTCCTGTATGTTCTCAGGGAACTTCCCTCATTCGGCAGCTACTTATTGATTGCCAAATGTGTATGAGGCCAACTCATCCACTACGTGGTTTGTGATCAAAAGCCATGCTTGTGTAAACCGTGGGGAAGCAGATCCGTAACCGTCTCTCCTTCCTAAACAGCCCAGAGCTGGAACTTCATGTGTTTACTTCTTTTTGAAGTTTTTAAGGTACTCTGGGTGAAAGTTTACAGAGCAAATTGGTTTTCCATTCAACCATTTATACACATTTTGTTTCATGACACTGCATGCAGTCTTCTTAATGTAATGGCAGTTTCTCCCCACTCCCTTCCTGGGGTCTCCATTTCCATTTGGTCTGCTTTCTTGCCTCTTCCTGGCATCTGAATTTTCTTTGGGGGAAAATGTTGTCCTTTTGGCAAAGTGGGTTCTGCGTTAGGCTGTTGACCAAAAAGAATATGGTTCAAACCCACCACCTGAACTGTGAGATAAAGATGAGGCTTTCTACTCCCAAGAAGATTAACGGTCTCAGAAGCCCACAGGCAGTTTTACGCTGCCTGACTGAATGGGGAGGAAGCAGAATTGACTTGAGGGCAGTGAATTTGGAGCAAGGCTTGATTACACGACGAGTATATGCTTCCCTGATGCTATCACTTACTTTACAGGCCTACCTATTTCTGGCTGAACAGGTGTCACGGGGTATGGAGTTCAGTCCCAGGCTTGAAGGAACGTCACAAGCCACAGTCTCAGGGCTCCACCAGTCTCCAACAGACGTGTAAACCCGGCCCATGTTATGATGTTGAATTTTGTTCTCTCCTTTCCCCCTGTCCCTCTCTGCCAGGACCTTTTACTGTGACCCTGCTCAGAAAGATTGTTGGGGGTAGCTGGCCACATCTAGTTTTCTGATCGCAGGAGAGTGGGCACTGTGGTTATGTGGCTCATCAGACCTTTGGATTAATTATTTCCTTAAGTTTTTATTTTCTCCTCTCGCATTGCCTCTGGATGGGGAGAAGTGAGAAGGTGCGTCTTAGAAAGCTGCTCTTGCTCCTTAAGTGCTTCAGGATCAGTGGCTGCGACCCACTTCTACAGCAGTATAATTAAGTTTCAGAATCTCTTTTCAGAAAAGCAGCATTAAGCACCAACGAAGAAACCTTGCTGTTATAAATCCTTGATTCATACTGCATTCAAAAGAGGGACTTTTGCCCAATTTCTGAAACATATACAGGAAGATTTCAATTACCAGCACAGAGAACTAAGGAATGGAATGATAGAAGAGAGTCTGTAGGCCACGTAGACATGCCACAACACCGTCCCACCTTTCTTGGCGCTGGTCACATTGCACAACCGGAGTGGGTAAACATCCTGTAAAGGGCTAGAGAGTAAATATTTTTGGCTTTGTGGGTCACATGGTCTTTGTTGCAATATTCAACCTGGCCTGCGTAGCCCAGAAACAGTCGCTGACGATATATAAATAAACGTGAGAGGCTGTCTTCCAGTGAAACTTTATTTATGGACACTAGAATTTGAATTTGTTATCATCTTCATATGTTGGGAAAGATTCCTTGTTTCCCTTCCATTTTCTCTTCAAGCATTCAAAGATGCAAAAGCAAGCAACGGGGCTGGTTGTCATTTGGTGACCCTTATTGTAGAAGTTAAAGTATTACCATTATACCAAGCATGCGCTGTGGGTCCCGATGTTGAAACATGTGGGCATGAGCTCAGTAGTGTCTCCCAGCCGGCTAACATTCTAGACATCACATTGTGCACGACAAGGACGAAGACAACGCATTTGGAGTGCATCTGTTACAACACGCCAAGGGACTCGGCAGCCTCTTATAAATATTTGATTCTACCTAAATCATTTATGTCTCTGTCAGGGGTCATTTTACTTGTTTTATATGAATAATTAAAAGCATAATTAGGAAACTGTACAATCTGAAACAGTAATCTCATTTTTCATTTTACAGCGGTCCTCGCTCGAGCACGCAGCACGCCATGCGCACCGATTCTTCTCCTGAAAATGCTTGGATTTTTGTTTACACATAAAATGGGAAAGAAAGAACACCCCTGATAGCATGCATCAATTTTCTGTTGACCACGCATCCGTTCACAACAGAAGGTGTGACCAAGGGCATCTCTACGGAGCACAAGATGCCCTGAGAGCGTGAGCTCCGGAGACGTCGAGACCTGGACCGGAATCCCGCACTGCTGTGCTCGGTGACGTGGTCCTGAGTGGGCTGCCTGGCTTCCTCGGGCCCGAGTCTCCAGTCTTGCTTACAATGGGGATAAACAGGTCTACTCGGTGCAGTGTGGACTTCTGCCGGAAACCACATGTAGGAAGAAGCACTGAACACTAATGCCAGGAACCCCGCGAGCTTTCATTCAAAGGCTGCTGCTGTCCGCCTCGCCCACCCCCGTGACGTGGCAGGAACTGTGTGCAGCACCAAAGAGTGAGCCCATGGCTCTGTTGCTCTATGTTGAGGTTGGAAAAACCACACTCACTGCTACGGAGTCGATTCCAACGCCTCGTCATGTATAGAGCAGGTAGACCTGCCCCTGTGGGTTTCGGAGACTGTAACTCTTGGCAAGAGTTGAGTGCGCCATCCTTCCTCCACAGAGCAAACGGTGGTTTTGAACTGCCGAGCTGCCATTAGTCCAACGTGTAACCCCGGCAGGACCAGGGCTCCTCAGTGTCATTCTCAGTGTGATAAATGCCACAGGGTGGGACCACAACAAGGGCACGTGCGGCCCCAATGCCACTTGGGGGAGATCTGATGTGCTGAGTATTTAGATAACGACTTAAGTTTATTAAAGCAGAGAGCCAGGAAGGCGTTTCCTTGTCTTAATCATTTCAATCCTTTTGGCTCACACCTGGGACATGACCATCTGAATGTGGTGCTACATTTCCCTGGCACTGATTCATTTGCCCAGGAGCAAAGGGTAAGCTGGAAGTTATTAACTTTGATTGACTTTCACAGAACACATACATGCTTTTTAACAGTAAGTCAATTCAAGTGAAATAGCACTGGCTTGTCCATTTCTGGTATGAATAGAATTTTCTTTTAAAATCAATTCATTTAACTAAAACAAAGTGAGCCAGTGGAAAGCAAGGAGACACTACCTTCAAGGATAATGATAAATAAATAAGGAATCCTAACTCAACATTAAAAGCAATAGTAGGGACAGTGGAATTTGGGTAAGGCAAAGACGAGGAAGGTGATAAGCAGAGACCTGCAGAACAATGGGGGAGTGAGGAAGGCATGGAATGCTTCAGAGAGTAAGAGAATTTCTGGAACTAGCCTCCCTGGTTGTTAAACTGTTGACAAGGATTGGAACGGAATGAAAGCAGACGTTTCTTCTTGTTAGATGCCATCGAGTTGGTTCCACGCACCACACAAGGACACCCTGCTCAGTCCAGGAGTCCACTGCACAGCCGCGGTGCCAAGACATCTCCTGGAGGGCCTTCTTTTTTGCGGCCCTTCCTCTTCATCAAGTATTATGTCCTCTGGCTAGTCTCTCTTGACAGCACGTTCAAAGTATTTAGGACAAACTCTCCCCATCCTTGCCTCTGAGGAAGACTCTCGCCTTACTTTTTTCAAAGGCAGACTGGAGGGGTTTTGTGGCAGCCCGTGGTACTTTCAATATCCTTCCCCATCACCAATGTTCAAATGCACCGATTCTTCTTTGTTCCGGCCTTATTCCATGTCCAACGTTCACATGCATATGAGGCAACGGAGACTACCATGGCTTGGGTCAGGGGCACCGTTGTCCTAAAAGTAGCATCCTTGCTTCTCACCACTTAAAAGAGGTCTTGTGCGGCTGAGTTACTCAATGCAACCTATTGTTTGATCTCTTGACTGTTGTTTCCATGAGTATTAATGTGGATCCAAGAAAGGAAAAAGTCCTTGACCACTTCAGCCTCTTCTCCGTTCATCATGATGTTACGTATTGGTCCCGTTGTGAGGATGATGGTCTTTCTTACATTGAGTTGTAATCCATACTGAAG